TTGGTACAAATTGCTAGAACGGTTAGCGAGATACATATATGTGATCATAAGTGGGCGGTGCCACGCCCATTTTTCAAAATTTTGTAATATTCTTATTTTTCGTCTAAAACTCTTTGCAAATATCAATTTTGAGTGAATTATCTTCAGTAGTTACTAAAACATCGCAGTTTTCGTTTTTCTGAAAATTACCGTTATATGGGAGGTAGGCGTGGTTATTGTCCGATTTTTTAAATTTTCAGCCATTTAGTATGCTGTACTAAGGCCAACAACTGTGCCAAGCTTGGAAGAAATTGGTGCAGCGGTTACCAAGACATACACATGTAACCATAACTGGGCGTAGCTACGCCTATTTTCCAAAAATTTATAATATTCATGTTTTCCGTCTGAAACTCATTGTAAGTATCAATTTTGAGTGAATTAGCTTCAGTAGTTACTAAAATATCGCAGTTTTCGTATTTCTTAAAATTACCGTTATATGGGAGGTAGGCGTGGTTATTGTCCGATTTCGCCCATTTTCAATACCATCCGTCCTACGCCCAAAAGAAGTGCACGTACCAAGTTTCATTAAGATATCTAAATTTTTACTCAGTTATCGTGTACACAGACGGACGGACGGACGGACAGACAGTCACCGCTTAATCGATTTCTCTTTTCATTCTGATCATTTATGTATACATTTGTCTATATCTATCTCGATTCGTGTTGCATGTTACAAACAACCGATATGTGAACAAAGTTATAATACCCTTGTGCATAAGTGCGCTCGGGTATAAAAATTGTTTGCTATGATGTGCTGTGTTTATTTTTTATTCGGATAAATTAAGTCAAGTATAATCATGGCTGCAATATAGTAAACAAAAAAAAATTTCTATTCAAAAAATTCCAGGATTTTTCATTCAATTTTCAATATTTCTCAGTATTTGGTGTAGAGAAGCACACCGGGGTACCGCTAGTACATCCATATATGTGTATTAGGAATATGTACATATATATATATGTGTCTGTATATAAATGTACTGGACAAACTGCGTTTGTCTAGTTAGAGATAGGAATAATTTTAAGTTCTCTATAAATAAAGGCTCCGCGCAATCGGAGCGTCAGTGTCCTTTTAATTTACAGTGAGTTAGTGTCTCAGTTTTTAACAATACCTACGTACAAACATACGTATATGCAGGCATACATATATGCATGCATGGTGATCCCCGTACCTACCTTCTTATATGCACCCGATCATCCGTTTGCGCATAATTACAAAGCGCCTGCTCAAACCAAATTAGCGTGCATTCCAAAGCACAGCTTTTAAAAACATTCTTACTTGCTAACAAATATTTTTGGCTTCCGTTTTGCGCTTCCCTGCAAAAATCGCGACTACTCCATGCATGCGTGTAAAGAGTGCTCCCTAAGGACCAAGGAGTACTCCAAAATTAACCACAATTCATATAAAAAATATGGTCCAATTAACATTGCGATGTCCTAGGGCAGGACCATATACTCCATCCCCGCATTACATCAGAGTAGCACAAAACTACTCCAACATATTAACAATGGCATTGTTGCTATATTTTTTCGTTTGTACACGCTTTTGTTCTTCACTTCCCAAATACTTTTTCGAAATTAATAAAAACCAAGACAAAAATTAAAAATTATTTGTTGCCTCTGACGGTATTCGAACCCGAACATGCAGGGAGCTAAGAACTAACAGCGAGCATCTCTACACGTTCAGCTACAGCCAGACATGCAAATGTGCTTTCAAATGCTCAACTTCAATCACGTTTCGTTAAAACACGAGCAGTGATCGGATAACAAACAATGAGCTAGCGCAGAGACACCAGTTGGTCCGCTACAGCATGACAGAGGAACACTTTTGTAAGTACTCCAATTTACCACAAATAGACTACATGATCCAACGATTTTTGCAGGGTTATTGTTCGACCCCACAAGCAGTGCAGTTCATAGCATACTTCAACTGCACAAACATACGTACACACATACATACTATATCTTCATATAAAGCAGAGCAAATAGATCAGAACTCTGCGCTCCCAGCAGTACTAACTATTGTTTGTGTCATTTAATGCACTTTGTTCATCTAAGTTTTTCGCACAATCGTATATTTATGCCTACATACTTACTAATGCAAGCATTTTCAAAACGCAGTGAAACAATTGCGCTGCGCTTATACATATGTATATATATATATGTACATACACATATTAAGCAAGTGAGCCCAGTAGTAAATTTGGCGGTAATAACCAAAAATATATAATGACAAAAACGAACACTCTCGAACCACTTTTAAAAAGAATACATATATATAAATATACATATAAAATACAAATTAAACCCCAGTAGTAAAATTCAGTGGTCACAAAAATAAATAGAGTCCACAAAAACACGATTAACCACAAATTACTCAACCAAGAGCCATACATACTAAAATACTCAGATATAAATAAATTTTCGTTATATCCAAAATGCCT